TAATGCTGCATTATGCTTCATCTTGTAATCTTCTTAAATTGATAACAATAGGCCTATAAAATACTGTTTTGAATGTGTATCTTCATATAAACTTCTTTGCCAACTATGGTGTGTAGCCTTAAATGCAAATTTATAACTGAGGGAAATGTTGGATGATTGAGGTAGGAATGGATTTGTAAGTATTCAGATGACAGGGGTCACTTGTATAACCCCTTCACGACGGGTGAAGGCGTTATACAAGTGGCTCCGGCGGCTTGAAAAGTGGCTGCGGCGGTGCGCCAAAGTGTGGTGAGCCAGTGATTCTGCCTGATGTACCGAACTTACACGCTCAAAGTCGGCGCACTGCCATGGTTCGCCAGAGTGTAGAGTTTTTTTTTTTTTGTTTTCTTCACACGTTACCATTGGGATAAGGAAAAAGAAAACTGAATGAAACTTTTCTTCTTTCAGGGGTGTAAAAGTATAGGCCAAGATGCCACTCTTAAAGCGTGTGGTGTCACCCGTGCATGTGTCACGGGTGCCCTTGGTGGAGGAGTGGGTGACGGACGACAATGGCAGAGTCTACGCGGCTCTCCTGCCAGCCACCAATCAACCGCAGGACCTAGAGTCCTTTACCAACCTCACCCTTGCCAACCTCATCACCCAGGTAACAGTCTGTTTATGCATTTCACTGTTTTATTTTGTGTATAGTAATGTTTTTTTTGTTTTTTTATTATTTCTTTGAATTTGGAAGAAAATTCTTATTTTTATTTTGTTTTGTAGAATATGCCTGTCTTATTATTTCTTTGAATTTGGAAGAAAATTCTTATTATTATTTTGCTTTATAGAATATGCCTGTCTTAAGTTAATTGATGTATTTTTTAAACAATTATTTGGCTGTCTTAAGAAGATTTATATGAAAGGATATTTTGTATAGTTTTAAAACCTTGCTTGTTGTCTTTGTTAACTACTCAATGGTCAGATAACCAGATTATATTCATGATATTTATTGGCACTTGTAAATTATTTGTACTAATTTTTACTTATATTAATAAGGTTATCAACAGATTAATTGATTTTTTTCTTCTTTTCTCTCAGTTATCATCACTTTCCCGACATGCAGAAGACTTGTTTGGGGAAATGATAACGGAATCCACCTCCATTTTGAATCGAACAGTATCATTACAAGGCAGGGTTGATAAGCTCTCAGTCAAGGTTAAGAACTTGGATAGCAATGTAGAAGAAGGTAAGAATCTTACTAATGTATATGTTTTTCTTCTTCACAGGTATAGGTATAGGTCTTGAAAATCAATTAAGTTGAAAATATTAGTCTGATAGAGGTCTGTTACATAGGCCTTAGGGTATGACAGATTTGAACAACTAAGCTGCAAAATAAGTAAATCAAAATGTAATAGCAATTGGTTCTTTCATATAGACTACTGAATTACTAAGTATACCAGGGTAGTGCTACTTATCTGAAACACTAAATTAATGATAATTTCACACACATTAGTTAATCATTTTCCCATTTTCTCCCAAAGTTTGTAAAAGTATATATGTGCAGTATAAGTAGGAGCTTGATTACAGGTAAAGCTACATGTGCACTTGTTTCATCTGTTAACCTGTTGATGCTGAGAAGGCACTATACATGCCCTGCATATTGTGACCAAAGTTAAATTTGTGTACACATAGATTGCACCACAATTACATAATCACTAGAGAATCAGTTACTAGATGTACCTTATCACACCTCTATACTGTGTTCCTTGAAAATTTGAAGAAAAAAAATTATGACTAGTTTTAATATTATTTATTACTTTCTATTACTATTGTAACTTCAAATGATAATGCCATAAATAATGATATCATTCATAAAGATGATAGTACTAGAAAGAAACAGAACTTTAACTTGAAAATTTAAGGAATAGGGTAAACAGGTAAGGGAAGCATAGCAATTAACCTGTTAGAACATTTTCAGTGTTAACATTGGTTTTCCTCATTTCAGTATCATTGCAAGATATTCACATGCGTAAGGCTTTCAAGTCTTCAGCACTGTTTGATCAGCAAGTGGTTTCAAGAGACACCATCCCAGCTGCCATGTTGGAGACATACGAGACATGTGAGCAACCTCCGCCTCTTCACCAGCTGAATCCCTACAGGCAAGGATCATTGAGGGTTTTGTGTTTCTGTGTATTGAAAAATACACTTCATTAAGTGATTAAATGTCATAGAGATGTTTTATTAAATTAAATCCTTGTGGAAAAGTTCATTATATCTTGTAGGCTGGTCAGACCTGAGTATGGTATTTGTTATAACTGCCGTTATGATTTATTTGTGCATTAGTAATGGATGAGTTTTTGGTTGAATTTGAGTTATGGGTAGTTTTGTAAACACCTGTATAAACCACTATATGAATATTAGGTCTCTGTACTATTTCCATCTTGTGTTAATAAATGCTCTCCAATTTTGGTTGTTTCACCAATGAGTATAAGGCTTGTAGGAGTTTATAAGGGTATTAGTATTACGTACACAAAACATGTTAGCAAGAATATGATCAAAGAAGTTTTAATGCCTGATGTGAACAAATCTAAACAAGTTACTATGGTATGTAAAGGAAAGAATGAAAAGCAGTCATGTGAAAATTGACATAGATTGCACCACAATTACATAATCACTAGAGAATCAGTTACTAGATGTACCTTATCACACCTCTATACTGTTTTCCTTGAAAATTTGAAGAAAAAAAATTATGACTAGTTTTAATATTGTTTATTACTTTCTATTACTATTGTAACTTCAAATGATAATGCCATTAATAATGATATCATTCATAAAGATGATAGTACTAGAAAGAAACAGAACTTTAACTTGAAAATTCAAGGAATAGGGTAAACAGGTAAGGGAAGCATAGCAATTAACCTGTTAGAACATTTTCAGTGTTAACATTGGTTTTCCTCATTTCAGTATCATTGCAAGACATTCACATGCGTAAGGCTTTCAAGTCTTCAGCACTGTTTGATCAGCAAGTGGTTTCAAGAGACACCATCCCAGCTGCCATGTTGGAGACATACGAGACATGTGAGCAACCTCCGCCTCTTCACCAGCTGAATCCCTACAGGCAAGGATCATTGAGGGTTTTGTGTTTCTGTGTATTGAAAAATACACTTCATTAAGTGATTAAATGTCATAGAGATGTTTCATTAAATTAAATCCTTGTGGAAAAGTTCATTATATCTTGTAGGCTGGTCAGACCTGAGTATGGTATTTGTTATAACTGCCGTTATGATTTATTTGTGCATTAGTAATGGATGAGTTTTTGGTTGAATTTGAGTTATGGGTAGTTTTGTAAACACCTGTATAAACCACTATATGAATATTAGGTCTCTGTACTATTTCCATCTTGTGTTAATAAATGCTCTCCAATTTTGGTTGTTTCACCAATGAGTATAAGGCTTGTAGGAGTTTATAAGGGTATTAGTATTACGTACACAAAACATGTTAGCAAGAATATGATCAAAGAAGTTTTAATGCCTGATGTGAACAAATCTAAACAAGTTACTATGGTATGTAAAGGAAAGAATGAAAAGCAGTCATGTGAAAATTCTGCTACATTCAAGTCAGACTTAACTAAAGTCAGGATAATTTCACACTCGCAGATGCGAGTGGTGACAAGGGGCTAAGTGCAACCCAGGGGAAGCACCAATAAGCCAAGGTTGGCCCTCTAAGCTATAACGTTAAAATGGTTGATGTATATAGGTCTTCCTTTCTCAAGAAGTCTAAAGCATTTGTTCATGTTGCGCAGTAATGGGAATGACCATTGAGTAATAACCATAGCACTTCCTGTACTATGTAGATTAGCCTTTAGTTTGTTTAAACACTATTGTGCTATATTAGTGCTACTTTTTTTACTTGCCAGAAAAGTAATGCAGCTTTCAGTGAACATAAGGTTAGGGCAGTTTGTTATGATGCTATATGTTATGTAAGTGTAGACTTATGAAAAAAAATTTATTGGTCGTAAAACAACTAAACTAGTTGAGTGAGTCAAAATCCATGAGGGGGTGCAAATGTGCACTCTTGCATGCTTTTTAGGGTATATTTATGTATGTATACTTGTATTCATGCATACTTATATATATGTATGCATGAATTTATGTGTATGATTATGCAGATGTGTATATGTACATATACACTCACCAAAAAAAAGTATCTTTACTCTTTCTGACTTAATCTGTCTATGATGGTATCAGAAAACTCTGGGTGTCATTGACTAAGGTGATTTCTGGCAACTGTCCTGCCGTTTGGCCTGGGAGTCCACTACATGTAACGGAACTCTCTGCTTGACTCGCTCTAGCGCGTTGCAACACCAATAGCCGGACTCTTCGTGATGAGTTGGGTAGTTATGGTGGCCCGGCAGATATGGGATAACAATATGATACAATAATAAAAACTATCAGAAAAAGTGCTGTGGGCTTGTTCTGATATTGCTCTCCCTGCTCCTACAATATTATGTATGACTCAGGTGTAACAGAAGCCCTAAATATATTCCGTGTCTGACAATTCAAGCAAATTGAAGAGTAATAGTGAAGGGTTTGAAATGTATAATACTTTTAATATTTTGTGTTACTACCACCAGCTTGATGAACGTGGCAAGTCTATGTGGCATGGATGCCACTAACTCAGTACGAGCTACCTACTTATCTTTCATATAGTACATTGATTTATGGTTTTGAATGACATTTACTTAATCTTCCTCCATCATGCATCTAGGGAGCCCTCTTCTGGCTTGGTGTCGCTGGATCCACAGGAACACAGTTGGCTTCAAAATGCCTAATCATCTTGATAATTGGCTCTTAATAGTTCCTTAGAGTGAAGTGCAGTTATTGCACTACAAATTGTCTATGAGGTCTCCATTGCAAATATTGCCATGATGGAAGGCCTTAGCCATATCAACTCTGAAACAATTTGTTCTAAACTTAGTTGGACTCCCAGGCAGAATGGTAGGATGGTTGTCAGTGATGCCGAGAGATTTCCGATACTGTCATTGAAGGTTAACAATAATGAGATGACTTTTTGTTTACTAGGGATGACGGCAAGGATGGACTGAAGTTCTACACGGATCCATCCTACTTCTTCAACCTCTGGCGTGAGGAGATGACCCAGGAGACCGAGCGGCTGAAGCTGGACAAGAAGCAGAAGGTAATTTTGAGACATGGCCCAGTAGGCTCTTTGTTCAAAGAAGAGTTCTGCCATTTGGTTTACATTTACATGTGGTGTTGATTTGTGAACTTGGAATCTGTTGCTTTTTCATTTATATTTTTTCTTCATTATTATTATTAAGCAAAGTGATCTTTCTCATCAGTTACCATGATAATGACAAGGATGGTTGTAATGAAGATTATATTATTAAAGATGGTATCACTAAAGTTGAGAGAAATAATGATTTAATGTTAATGTTAAGACAGTAAAGTTAGGTATATTGTCAATTACATTTAACAGTCATTACCATGAACTGCTATCTGTTCATCAAGAGTAATTATTACCATGCTTGTCTAGGAGTTGTCTTGGAAACTGTTGAGTAAAACAGGAAACCGTATACTTATTTTTACACATTTACTATTAATCTGTTGGTTCCAGGCACATAAACTGTCCAATTTTATTTTTATTAATTTTGTTTTGACATAGATGGCTTCACAAGCACTTTGTCCCTTTGTGACAATGCTAACCTAATCTAATGGTTTACCCCATTTCTTGATATTTTTGGGAAGAAGTTTTTGTTTTTGTTACTCCTGTTATTACTAATATTATTATCATTACCTTTATCATAGAATTTCTAACAGTGATAATAGTAATGAAGATTAAAATCTCACTTTGTAAAGATTCAAGGAAAGATCAGGTAACCTTATTAAATGACTCCTTTGCAAATTCCTGCTTTTGGAGCCATCTGTGTATGAACAAAAAATAATAAACAAAACCAGGAGGTGGGCAGAGCATATATACATGCACTGCTGGTGTCAGTGGAGTGATTTCATACAGTATATGCAGTTTCATTCATGAAATTAGAGAGGTTTAGTATCAATATATGGTTCAAATAGCTGAGGAGAAAATTGTGCTATATGTTAATTATTTTAATAGTTATCAGGTGATTGTGGGCAGTGAGAAAGGTTGATGTTTTTGGGAATATTACTTTTGTAACAGGATATACACTGTAATCGAAAATACATTTGAAGAATATTTGAGTGTAAAAGTTGGTTTAGTTATGCATATGACACACTTGATGAATATTGATTTGTGAAATGAGTCCACTTGGATATAGGACCAACTTTGACATTGAGTGACTATTAGCATTCACTGCATTTTTGTGGTTTGATGAAGGGGTTATCACATTTGCTTTGATTTCCTGTACTTTAGATTTCATCAAGATTATGTGAATGTCCCAGGATGGGCATGTCATAGCAGATGCTGTACTTGTAAAATTTGTGCGTTTTGTTTTGGACAGTACACGTGACCTGTCTGAGTTGGGTTATCAGTATACTCAAATTGTTAAATTCCCAGTATTTAACATATCTAAAACCTGTGTTAGTACTGTAATTTTTCAAAATGTATTCAGAAAACTAAAGACAAGGAACACTAGGATATATGTTTGAAATTTTGATGCTGAAATATTTTGCACAAATCAAGATACTATTAACTTCCTCTTTTAAATAAAAGTAATAGTGACTATCATGTGGTAGCCTTAGCCTCTGTTGCTCTTTTTGTTGTTTATTTGAGGTCAGTGGGAATTAGTAAACATAGGAAAATGGTTGGCATTTGATAAAACAAAACATAATCTTGTCTGTGAATTAAAAATCTTGTATGATAATTCCTCCAGTCAAAAGTACCCATTACTAGGATTTATTTTTCATTCTTTTTAACCACTCATGATCAGAGGCAGGTTTTATATTCTATTCTCACCATGTATTAAATGTGAAATGTCCAAAAATTTTAGTGTACTGTTATACTTAGTGCAAAAGGGGCTTATAAGAATGTAAATATGGTATTACAAACATTAATGGTAATTAGGTAGTATTATAGCAACCATGGTCATAGTAATAGTGACTACTACTATTACCACTATCTCTACTTGTAATACTGCTTTAGTACAATCTAGTTGTATATTAATGAATACAGGTACACCTTAGAAGGCATCCTGCTTAACTGATAGCTCTGATTAGCTCTTTGTTGTTCATTATTCATATCTAGTGTGGATATCTCAGGTATTGCTTATGTTCATTATCATGTATTTTCAATTGCTCCTCTCAAATTCTGGTATTGCAAACTATTTTTGTGAGCTCTTTACACACCTTTGAATGTATGAATAGTTGATTTTCCGTACGTAGATTTTAAATTCGTTTGATGTTAGTTAAGTTGAGGTTGTACTGCAAAAAATTCTAATATTTATATTAGACTCTGCCAATGATAGTTCCTCATTTTGGGTGGAGGGTGGAGCATAGTCTAGCTGATTTGCATAATTGGTGGGAAGAGGGATGGTGGGTGGAACTATAGAATTTCTAGGGCAATATATGGAGTATAAAAAATAGTGACAGAACAGAATACGGCATCACTCAGCAGCATCTAGAATGATATATTCCACTGTTGCTTCATGAAGCCAATATTGATATCACATTATATAACAGGTTAATGTGATCATTAAAAAAAAAGGTAAATTGGTAAATACAGATAGTCCCCTACTTCAGAACATTCTACTTATGAACATTCCACACATAAAAAAACAAATTTTTTAAGTACTAAAGTCCAAAAAATTGTTTGAAAGATGCTAGCAAACTTCAAATTCCCCAGGCGCGAATATAGTTCAAGAGTCTGGTACTGTATAAAGTATGTCGTACTTATTGGGATTTCTTTACAGGTATTCTTAATGTAAACAAAACTTTAAAACAATGGGAAAAAAGGTAATGGAGACCCGACTTTCGACGTACAAACAAATCAACTTACAAACAGCCTCTTGGTCCCCATTATGTTCTGAAGTTGGGGACTTACTGTATTTGTAAACAGTATCCCATAGATAGATTATGATATGGCTTAATTAGGGCCTCTAGCATTGTTACTTGATGTGAGGTGTGTATCCCTATAACCTACATATGTTTGCCAAAATTCCAAATGGGAATTAGATGGGAGAGAATCATTAATTTTCTATACAATACCTTATAAAACATGAATTGAAAGTTATCTGGTTTTTCATATTTTCTTTGATGTAAGGAAATATATAATCTGATACCAAGACAACTATTACCTATTGTCTGTAACACCAGATCACTGCTTGAGGTTTTTTTTTGTTGGTTTCCATAGACCTAAGACAATAAAAGAATGAAATGGGAATTAATTAAATTAGATACAACCATCTTTAGCCAGTCAGCACCATCAGCCAAGCATGTTGGCATCTATGGTATCACATCCCTGCATTTATTCAGATGCTTTTGGATATACCATGCTACTTTGTATCTACTGTCACTTCTACTGCTATTAGATTATTCCTATTGTCACTACAATTGCTTTTGCTTCTTTATTTCTGTTACAATTTCTGCTGCTACAACTACTACTACTACTGCTTCTGCTATTGCTACTACTACTACTGTTTCTATTAATGACCTTCCATCATCCCCATATAGTTTAACTTGTACCACCATTTATTACTGAACATCATACTCAGAAGTGCATTTACTCATTAAGCTGCATTTTTGCATAACATTCAAAGTCCATTCCAGAGAGAGAGATAGTCTTACGGTTTGATGAATGACTTCTCAGGCACAATAGAACAGATTGAAGTAAGAACAACTCTATTATAAACTTCAGCATCCCCACACATAGAAAGATTTAGCTGGAGGACCTAATCTTCCTGAATTTGTAGAAGTCAGTAGTGTGAAAAGTACTGTAATCTATGTTTTGGAGTCTTGCTGAGTACGCCCTGTTTCCAACTTGATTTTCTCTTGTGGGTTCTTGGGAATGCAAAGTCCCAAAGAAAGCTCTCTGTCCATGTGCCTAGAATCCTTGAACACTTGGGTTCTATTACTATTGCAATGACTGCTACTATCTTTACTTCTGTTTCTGTTTATTTCTATTTATTTATTATTATTCTCTTTCTATTTCCTCCTCCTCCTCCTCCTCCTCCTCCTCCTCCTCCTCCTCCTCCTCCTCCTCCTCCTCCTCCTCCTCCTCCTCCTCCTCCTCCTCCCTCCTCCTCCTCCCTCCTCCTCCTCCTCCCTCCTCCTCCTCCCTCCTCCTCCTCCCTCCTCCTCCTCCCTCCTCCTCCTCCCTCCTCCTCCTCCCTCCTCCTCCTCCCTCCTCCTCCTCCCTCCTCCTCCCTCCTCCTCCCTCCTCCCTCCTCCCTCCTCCCTCCTCCCTCCTCCTCCTCCTCCCTCCCTCCTCCTCCTCCTCCTCCTCCTCCTCCTCCTCCTCCTCCTCCTCCTCCTCCTCCTCCCTCGCTATGATTACTTTGCTTTTACCATTATGACTGCTACTACTATGACAAATACTGCCATGACTGCTGCCACTGCAAAATTTCTCCACTACTATTACTGCTGTGTGCATTATGTTGCTTTTACTATTACCCTTGATTTTACCACTACTGTTTTATTACATCCAATTCAGCCTTTAATAGGAAGACTATCAGTACTTAGGACAGTTGGTGTATTTTAAGTTCTTCCTACTCATGGTTTCATTATTGCATCTTATAATTTTAAAAAGTCAGGTCTTAGCATTTACTTTTTCCTCTTCCTCCTCTTCTTTTCCCCCTTCCTCTCCCTCTCCTTTTTCCCCCCTTCCTCCCCCTCCCCCTTGACCTTCCTCTCTCCTTCCACCTCCCCTGCCCCTGCCCCTGCTCCTGCCCCTGCCCCTGCCCCTGCCCCTGCCCCTGCCCCTGCCCCTGCCCCTGCCCCTGCCCCTGCCCCTGCCCCTGCCCCTGCCCCTGCCCCTGCCCCAGTCCCAGTCCCTGTCCCAGTCCCTGTCCCTGTCCCTGTCCCTGCCCCTGCCCTTGCCCCTGTCCCTGCCCTTGCCCTTGCCCTTGCCCCTGCCCCTTCTCCTCCCATCATCCCTCCCTCCCTCCCTCCCTCCCTCCCTCCCTCCCTCCCTCTCTCCCTCTCTCCCTCTCATTCCACTCTCTACAAACCATGAACCGTAGCAGGAAGCCAGTGTCTGGCATCCAGGGACAATTGACAGGCTTGGATTATTGACAAGGGCAGTCGTGGAGTGATGTAAAAGTTGGTCTCTTTAGGCATGATGCTCCTCAAACGAGTGTTCAGTAAGATCGAGGAAAATTGCCTCGGGGTCAGAGGCAAGGTTTCATTGCCATTGATTTATTTAGTTTGCTTTTGTTTCATTGATTACCAAAACAAAACATAAAAAAGATTAATGTCTAGATGATGGCAATGTCTTAGCCTGTAGATCTGTAATCATTATGGGGAAAGGGAAAATAATCTCAACATTACTGCTGGAAGTAATGGTGCATGATGGTGATAATTACTAGTTAAGTGATATTTTAAACTTTTATTATATTTTATTTATTTATTTATTTGTTAGTATTATTTATCATTATTACAATTTTTTTCATTATTGTTATTATGATTTTCATCATCATGATTGTCATAATCATTATTGTTATTACTATTGTTGTTACTGTTATTATTTTTTATATTGATGATAATAATGATAATGATTATTGTTATTGTTATTGTTATTGGTATTGGTATTGTCCTTATTGTTATTATTATTATTATTATTATTATTATTATTATTATTATTATTATTATTATTATTATTATTATTATTATTATTATTATTATTATTGTTATTGTTATTGTTATTGTTATTGTTGTTATTGTTATTGTTATTATTATTATTATTATTATTATTATTATTATTATTATTATTATTATTATTATTATTATTATTATTATTATTGTAGTTATTATTATTACTGTTGTTATTATCATCATTTTCATTATCAATATATGGAATTTTTGTTGTTGGTATTAGTATTAGTGTCTACTATTTTTATTTACAATATTTTTAGTCTTAGCATATTTTTCATTATAATGATGATTTTCTGGCTTCAGGGATTTTTTGTATATATTAAGGTAGTGCATGTTTATGAATATATGTTTTGGGATTATGATTTACTCAAGACTGATTTATGTGTCATTTTAAGCCAGATTTTTGTGTGATTATTTTGTAAGTAGAATTCATTATTATGTTGCACTTACTTGCTCTGATCCTCCAGGAAAGGTGAAGAAGTTGCCCAGTATTGGTTGGAATGTTAGAACCTAATCATTTTATTCATACCTCCATGCATATTTTCATTTTTAGCATGCACATGGAGGGGAGCATCGAAATGAGGCAAGTGTGTTTATCAGAACCGGTGCATGGTAAACCTTGTGGGTTCTCTTCTAACTTTTAACATTTATATCCAGTCCCTTCTGGAGGTTGTGGCTTCTTCACACTTCTAATGGATTTATGGGTACTGTGGCAGTTGCTCCTTAGATACATGATAGGATTATAGGACCCAAACCCAAACCCACACCCACACCACACCCACACCCAAACCCACACCCACACCCACACCACACCCACACCCAAACCCACACCCACACCCACACCCAAACCCACACCCACACCACACCCACACCCACACCCACACCACACCCACACCCACACCACACCCACACCCACACCCAAACCCACACCCACACCCAAACCCACACCCAAACCCACACCCACACCACACCCACACCCACACCCACACCCACACCACACCCACACCCACACCCAAACCCACACCCAAACCCACACCCAAACCCACACCCAAACCCACACCCAAACCCACACCCACACCCACACCCACACCCACACCCAAACCCACACCCAAACCCACACCCACACCCACACCACACCCACACCCACACCCAAACCCACACCCAAACCCACACCCACACCCACACCCACACCCAAACCCACACCCAAACCCACACCCACACCCACACCCAAACCCACACCCACACCCAAACCCACACCCAAACCCACACCCAAACCCACACCCACACCCACACCCACACCACACCCACACCCAAACCCACACCCAAACCCACACCCAAACCCACACCCACACCCAAACCCACACCCACACCCACACCCACACCACACCCACACCCAAACCCACACCCACACCCACACCCAAACCCACACCCAAACCCACACCCACACCCAAACCCACACCCACACCCAAACCCACACCCAAACCCACACCCACACCCACACCCACACCCAAACCCACACCCACACCCAAACCCACACCCACACCCACACCCAAACCCACACCCAAACCCACACCCACACCCAAACCCACACCCAAACCCACACCCAAACCCACACCCACACCCAAACCCACACCCACACCCACACCCAAACCCACACCCACACCCAAACCCACACCCACACCCAAACCCACACCCACACCCAAACCCACACCCACACCCACACCCAAACCCACACCCAAACCCACACCCAAACCCACACCCACACCCAAACCCAAACCCAAACCCACACCCACACCCACACCCACACCCACACCCACACCCACACCCACACCCACGCCCACACCCACACCCACACCCACACCCACACCCACGCCCACACCCAAACCCACACCCACACCCAAACCCACACCCACACCCAAACCCACACCCACACCCAAACCCACACCCAAACCCACACCCACACCCAAACCCACACCCACACCCAAACCCACACCCAAACCCACACCCAAACCCACACCCAAACCCACACCCAAACCCACACCCACACCCACACCCACACCCAAACCCACACCCACACCCAAACCCACACCCACACCCACACCACACCCACACCCAAACCCACACCCACACCCAAACCCACACCCACACCCAAACCCACACCCAAACCCACACCCAAACCCACACCCACACCCAAACCCACACCCACACCCAAACCCACACCCAAACCCACACCCAAACCCACACCCACACCCAAACCCACACCCACACCCACACCCACACCCACACCCACACCCAAACCCACACCCACACCCAAACCCACACCCACACCCACACCCACACCCACACCCACACCCAAACCCACACCCACACCCAAACCCACACCCACACCCACACCCAAACCCACACCCAAACCCACACCCAAACCCACACCCAAACCCACACCCACACCCAAACCCACACCCAAACCCACACCCACACCCAAACCCACACCCAAACCCACACCCAAACCCACACCCACACCCAAACCCACACCCAAACCCACACCCAAACCCACACCCACACCCAAACCCACACCCACACCCACACCACACCCACACCCAAACCCACACCCACACCCAAACCCACACCCACACCCAAACCCACACCCACACCCACACCCACACCCACACCCACACCCAAACCCACACCCACACCCACACCCAAACCCACACCCAAACCCACACCCACACCCACACCCACACCCACACCCACACCCACACCCACACCCACACCCACACCCACACCCAAACCCACACCCACACCCACACCCACACCCACACCCACACCACACCCACACCCACACCCACACCACACCCACACCCACACCACACCCACACCCACACCCACACCCACACCCACACCCACACCCACACCCAAACCCACACCCAAACCCACACCCAAACCCACACCCAAACCCACACCCACACCCACACCCACACCCACACCCACACCCAAACCCACACCCACACCCAAACCCACACCCACACCCACACCCACACCCAAACCCACACCCAAACCCACACCCAAACCCACACCCAAACCCACACCCACACCACACCCACACCCACACCCACACCACACCCACACCCACACCCACACCCACACCCACACCCACACCCACACCCACACCCACACCACACCCACACCCACACCACACCCACACCCACACCCACACCCACACCCACACCACACCCACACCCACACCCAAACCCACACCCAAACCCACACCCACACCCAAACCCACACCCACACCCACACCCAAACCCACACCCACACCCACACCACACCCACACCCACACCACACCCACACCCAAACCCACACCCAAACCCACACCCAAACCCACACCCAAACCCACACCCACACCACACCCACACCCAAACCCACACCCACACCCACACCCAAACCCACACCCAAACCCACACCCAAACCCACACCCAAACCCACACCCACACCCAAACCCACACCCAAACCCACACCCACACCCACACCCAAACCCAAACCCAAACCCCACACCCACACCCACACCCACACCCACACCCACGCCCACACCCACACCCACGCCCACACCCACGCCCACACCCACGCCCACACCCACGCCCACAACCATGCCCACTCCCAGAAGCACACACACCTCTCGTACACCACCCCACCTGTATACATGCATACATACAAACATACCCACACTCACATACATACACACTTATACTTCTAGTTTTACTGAATGATCTCAGGGCCTGTCCTCCGCTTTCTTGAAAGAAAAGGGAATAAAGGTTCTTTTTTTTTTTTTTCTCTTTTTCTCTCTTTGTTTTTCCCCTCTTTACCTTGTTCCCCCTCTCTCCTTTCTCTCTCTCCCCTCTATCCTCCCTATCTTCTCGTCTCTTTCTCTCCTCTCTCACATCTTTGTTCCACTTTCTCTTAGTTGACATGTTTCATTTAGAAATTAAGTGAATCACTCAGTTTGATAATACTTTTAACCCAACAGCCAGTCATGCTGAGGAGACAGATTATTATATAAAAAAGTGAATGACAGATCTTTAAATCCCACAGCCAGACTCACTGAAGAAATAGATTATTGGATATAGAAATACTGAAATAGGTTTGAGATTGCTTGAAGTCTAGCTATAGATATTAACAGCGTTCTCTCACCACAGCCAAATAAACCGAAGGGAGATGGAAGAAACAAGAGTAAAAAGATTCCTCGGCAAGCAGGAAACACGAGGGAAAAGCACCGACAGCTGGCCATTGCTCACGGGGAATACATCGCACCACAGTCGCAGTATAGGACTCCGATGAATCAAGTCAATGAGGTAGGGGATTTATTTTTAGCTTTTTCTTTGGTGTATTTTTGTTATACTTGTTTATTTCATTGGCACAGTTTTTTCCACAGAGGAAAGCGGTAGATTATGTTATATGCTAGTTTGATTCATATTTAATTTTTGTAAATTAGTATTTATATGGCATCATTTAGGACATGGATATTTCTATAGAAAGGGTAATATCAGATTGTGATGCAAGAAAATATTTTTGTATAACATTAAAGTGCTATCTCAATCTATTAATTGTTTCCAAGCTTAAAAGGTTTTTGTGCAACAGTACTGGTACTGTTTATTAATGGTTGTAATGTCAAAAGAAAACTAGGGATAGTTTGAATTGCAATTTTGTTGGCAAACCTGTTACGTATTTATTATGATAATTTAGCAATCCTAAATGATATTGATAACATATTAAGTACACTGTAATCATTGGAAGGAATTATTGGCTTGGTGCATCCCTCCCCCCCCTCCCCAAATGTATCTAGTGGAAAATTGATTTTATTTACTGAGAAGAGACTACTGCTGCACAGAAGAATACTACGCTCCTTGACGTCCTTTTGGTATCTTTATCCAGAATGTGTATAGACTGTACATTCACTACATGACTAAACCAATATTATCCTTCAACAACTATACTGGTCTTTCCTGTGGTATATTAATACAATTCTTTCCATCCATTTTCATGTAAATTCAAGTGTGTGTGTGGGAGTATGTGTGTGGCTTCTGCATGATTGAGTGGGTTTGTGTAGGGATGTATTAGTGTATGTGAGTGAGTCAGTGAATGGATGGGTGGGTAGATAAATTAGGAGATAAGTGAATGAGTAGGCTAATGAGGAAGTGAGTAAGGGAGTAGGGAGTAGGTGAGTGAGTTGAATGAGTGAATGTTTAACCCTTCAACCCAGGGTTTATGTACTGCCCACTGTAGTTTTTTTGTGAATTTTGTCTCAAGCAGAGGGTGCCACAAGTTTTCAGTCTCACTCTGTTCTGAGTGAGTGAGGGTGTGTGTGAGTGAGTAAGGGTGTGTGTGAGTGAGTAAGGGTGTGTGTGAGTGAGTAAGGGTGTGTGTGAGTGAGTGAGTGTGTATGTGAGTGAGTGAAGGTGTGTGTGAGTGAGTAAGGGTGTGTGTGAGTGAGTGAGGGTGCGAGTGAGTGAGTGAGGGTGCGAGTGAGTGAGTGAGGGTGCGAGTGAGTGAGTGAGGGTGCGAGTGAGTGTGAGTGTGAGTGAGTGAGTGTGAGTGTGAGTGTGAGTGTGAGTGTGAGTGTGAGTGTGAGTGTGAGTGTGAGTGTGAGTGTGAGTGTGTGTGTGTGTGTGTGTGTGTGTGTGTGTGTGCATGCATGTGTGAAAGTGAGAGTGTCAGTGTCAGTGGCAGGTGGTTTGTTTATGGAGTGGATTTGTGTGAATAGGTGGTTGAATGACCATGTTTGTTTGCGTCTGCATGTGTATATGTAATTTTTTGTATGTGTTTATGTGTGTTGCTGTAGTATCTGTCTGAAATTATTCAATATCTGCTTTGTGTGTTTGTGTGCATATTTGTATGTGTGTTTATATCTGTGTATATATTTATCTAACACATACTTGTATGTATAATACGTAACACTAATATACAGTATTATGATGTATAGGAATAAATATCTTTGAATAATCTAGGGCAGTGTAATAAGATTAAATGGAAGTGGTAAGCCATGTTGAGTAAATTCAAATGCTGAAAAATGTGTACAGCCTAGTCCTTAACCAGTGGAGTGAGAGGCACATATTAAACTGAAGAGCACTGGAGTAAGAGCCACAGATCAGCTTGGGCTATTTTTTTTTTTTTTTCATCAGATATACTTATGATGAAAAGAAATGCATTATGTTAGAACATCTGTGACAATTCTACACCACAGGATGGGACCAAAGAAGAGTAATTGCTCACTCCACGGGTTAAGATTTTAGAATATCATTAGAAGATTTGTGAGCTTGGATTTCTTGTCTGGAAAGTCAAACATATAGAATGCTGTGCTCGAGAGTCCTCACATTTTAGCAAAATTTTATGTTTAAAGAGTTCATTTGTAAATTTGGTGCTGTTTGTGGATTTAGCAGCTCCATGTTGAATGCACTTTCACTTTGCAGAACTTAAAAAGGTATTCAGTGATACTTTGTCCTTGATTTCAAGTAGTCTCTCCTCTTTTGATTCTAATTAAAGTGTCTTTCTTAATCAGAATATGTATGACCAGTCATTAGGAATGAGCACAGCAGATGGACGACCATTGCGACCAAATAGTATAGAGCTTCGTGGTCATTATGTGAATGCACAAACTGGGGTATGTTTCACAATTGCAATCAGTGCACTTGTAGTCTGTAATGGTATGTCATGAATCTTTTAAGTGAAAAGTAAGATCTGGTCGATCTGTTTTGCATGCATGTCCTATTATGGACTGTATTTGGATTTTTTTTTTTAAATTTTTTTCATAAGTAACTAAGGTAAGAGGAATGTGTTAATCCAAGTTTACAGTCATGCATGTCCTGTAAAGCACTGTTTTTCTATTCAAGTTGGTTATTATTGAAAAACACATTGCATGGTTTGCTCAACTACCCTTTCGAGATGGGGACATTTATGCTAAAAGCAGAATTATGTGACTCTTGCATCTCATATGGATTAGATAAGAAGTTTAGGGTTCTTTGCATGATGTAATAGGGTGGATAGTGACGGTATTATAACTTGAATCATACTTAACTCCAAGTGAGTACCAAGAAAATTAATCATAGTTTTGTTTATAGAAAATGTACACTTGTGTACCTCAGTGCATGCATTTTGTTAGTAATGTGCACCTTATCTATCTACTTAGCTTTGATTACTAATGCTGTATGTTATAAGATTCTGTCTTCTTTTTTTTCTTTATTTAAACCCAATGCCGTCGGGCGTAGAATGTGCGTACATACCATGCCCACTGTGAGTTTACTTTATTAATTATTTTTATACTCAGATGCTATACTTGTACTAAGTCACCTGTTACGAGAACTGCCTTGATTCTCGAAAATATTTTGTTATCTTATATTACAGTTACTAATGTCTATAACATTATAGTAATTATAATTTCTAGAGCACACCTACTACCCCCACACCTACTACCCCCACACCTACTACCCCCACACCTACTACCCCCACACCTACTACCCCCACACCTACTACCCCCACACCTACTACCCCCACACCTACTACCCCCACACCTACTACCCCCACACCTACTACCCCCACACCTACTACCCCCACACCTACTACCCCCACACCTACTACCCCCACACCTACTACCCCCACACCTACTACCCCCACACCTACTACCCCCACACCTACTACCCCCACACCTACTACCCCCACACCTACTACCCCCACACCTACTACCCCCACACCTACTACCCCCACACCTACTACCCCCACACCTACTACCCCCACACCTACTACCCCCACACCTACTACCCCCACACCTACTACCCCCACACCTACTACCCCCACACCTACTACCCCCACACCTACTACCCCCACACCTACTACCCCCACACCTACTACCCCCACACCTACTACCCCCACACCTACTACCCCCACACCTACTACCCCCACACCTACTACCCCCACACCTACTACCCCCACACCTACTACCCCCACACCTACTACCCCCACACCTACTACCCCCACACCTACTACCCCCACACCTACTACCCCCACACCTACTACCCCCACACCTACTACCCCCACACCTACTACCCCCACACCTACTACCCCCACACCTACTACCCCCACACCTACTACCCCCACACCTACTACCCCCACACCTACTACCCCCACACCTACTACCCCCACACCTACTACCCCCACACCTACTACCCCCACACCTACTACCCCCACACCTACTACCCCCACACCTACTACCCCCACACCTACTACCCCCACACCTACTACCCCCACACCTACTACCCCCACACCTACTACCCCCACACCTACTACCCCCACACCTACTACCCCCACACCTACTACCCCCACACCTACTACCCCCACACCTACTACCCCCACACCTACTACCCCCACACCTACTACCCCCACACCTACTACCCCCACACCTACTACCCCCACACCTACTACCCCCACACCTACTACCCCCACACCTACTACCCCCACACCTACTACCCCCACACCTACTACCCCCACACCTACTACCCCCACACCTACTACCCCCACACCTACTACCCCCACACCTACTACCCCCACACCTACTACCCCCACACCTACTACCCCCACACCTACTACCCCCACACCTACTACCCCCACACCTACTACCCCCACACCTACTACCCCCACACCTACTACCCCCACACCTACTACCCCCACACCTACTACCCCCACACCTACTACCCCCACACCTACTACCCCCACACCTACTACCCCCACACCTACTACCCCCACACCTACTACCCCCACACCTACTACCCCCACACCTACTACCCCCACACCTACTACCCCCACACCTACTACCCCCACACCTACTACCCCCACACCTACTACCCCCACACCTACTACCCCCACACCTACTACCCCCACACCTACTACCCCCACACCTACTACCCCCACACCTACTACCCCCACACCTACTACCCCCACACCTACTACCCCCACACCTACTACCCCCACACCTACTACCCCCACACCTACTACCCCCACACCTACTACCCCCACACCTACTACCCCCACACCTACTACCCCCACACCTACTACCCCCACACCTACTACCCCCACACCTACTACCCCCACACCTACTACCCCCACACCTACTACCCCCACACCTACTACCCCCACACCTACTACCCCCACACCTACTACCCCCACACCTACTACCCCCACACCTACTACCCCCACACCTACTACCCCCACACCTACTACCCCCACACCTACTACCCCCACACCTACTACCCCCACACCTACTACCCCCACACCTACTACCCCCACACCTACTACCCCCACACCTACTACCCCCACACCTACTACCCCCACACCTACTACCCCCACACCTACTACCCCCACACCTACTACCCCCACACCTACTACCCCCACACCTACTACCCCCACACCTACTACCCCCACACCTACTACCCCCACACCTACTACCCCCACACCTACTACCCCCACACCTACTACCCCCACACCTACTACCCCCACACCTACTACCCCCACACCTACTACCCCCACACCTACTACCCCCACACCTACTACCCCCACACCTACTACCCCCACACCTACTACCCCCACACCTACTACCCCCACACCTACTACCCCCACACCTACTACCCCCACACCTACTACCCCCACACCTACTACCCCCACACCTACTACCCCCACACCTACTACCCCCACACCTACTACCCCCACACCTACTACCCCCACACCTACTACCCCCACACCTACTACCCCCACACCTACTACCCCCACACCTACTACCCCCACACCTACTACCCCCACACCTACTACCCCCACACCTACTACCCCCACACCTACTACCCCCACACCTACTACCCCCACACCTACTACCCCCACACCTACTACCCCCACACCTACTACCCCCACACCTACTACCCCCACACCTACTACCCCCACACCTACTACCCCCACACCTACTACCCCCACACCTACTACCCCCACACCTACTACCCCCACACCTACTACCCCCACACCTACTACCCCCACACCTACTACCCCCACACCTACTACCCCCACACCTACTACCCCCACACCTACTACCCCCACACCTACTACCCCCACACCTACTACCCCCACACCTACTACCCCCACACCTACTACCCCCACACCTACTACCCCCACACCTACTACCCCCACACCTACTACCCCCACACCTACTACCCCCACACCTGTTACGAGAACTGCCTTGATTCTCGAAAATATTTTGTTATCTTATATTACAGTTACTAATGTCTATAACATTATAGTAATTATAATTTCTAGAGCACAACATTTTCCTGATGGCATTGGGTTAAGTTTGTTTCTTGTTTTTATGACATATGTACAGTCTGCATACAGTATATACTGTAAATATTTTGCATGAATTTTACTTTGTTACTTGTTCACTCGCAAATGAACTTCTCATGTTGGAAGTTGTAACCCCTTAATGCCTGAGACTGCTGTGATTTTGACAAGAGCAATGGATATCCCCTTGATGCTGGGTGGAGGTGTCAGTATTACCATGATATGTATTAAGATGTTAAGAGGCTGATTTTGAAAGTTTTAATTATATGTGTAAGTGACTATTTAATTTACCATCTGTTACAAGGTTTTCCCCCTTCTGCAAAATAAAGGACTCATTATTGTTGTAAATTTCTTCATTCAAGTTATAAATCTGGCCAACTTAAGATTCATTAATGTTTAGTGAATTGTAAATTTGAGTATTTCCGAGTGCAGTTGGCCAGTTTTGCAAAGAGTACGACTAGAACTAAATCTTGTTCCTTTTCCCTGTTACCCATGTTGAAGGATCAGCATTAATCCTATGATTTTATGTTGGATGTGATCGTATTGTTTATTTTTTATACTTGCACATTAAATTTATTGATTTATTCTAAGCTTAATTGTGCATGGACGTTTTGGATATCAAGTATTTTGAAAGCAATTTTGTGTAGTTTTATCACTATAGTTTATGAGATTGTTGCATAGGACATTTTTTCACATGTATACTGTGTGAATGATGATAATTGTCAAAAAGAAAGAAAATTGAAATTAGAATTAAATAATAACATAAGCATAAAGGTTAGGTGGTCACAAAAATCCAGTTATACTAATTATTACCCACATATATCCCATACTTACATACTAACACCACCACCTCTGCTTTCCTCTCTGTGTATGCCTTATTCCTACTCCTGTGCCTACACCTACACCTACATGTACAACAACACCTACCCCTACACCTACTACCCCCACACCTACTACCCCCATACCTACTACCCCCACACCTACTACCCCCACACCTACTACCCCCACACCTACTACCCCCACACCTACTACCCCCACACCTACTACCCCCACACTTACAACCCCTACACCTACAGTTTTCCTTACATTTATGCATGCATTTACTCCTGTACATGCTACTCCTGCTACACCTACATCTACATCTCCACCTACTACACCTCCACCTACCCCTACTACACCTACCTCTACTACACCTACTACACCTACTACACCTACTACACCTACTACACCTACTACACCTACTACACCTACTACACCTACTACACTTACTACACTTACTACACTTACTACACTTACTACACTTACTGCACTTACTACACCTACTACATCTACTACACTTAATATGCTTAATACACTTAATAC